GGCTGGAACAAGCTTGCCAGATACATCCTTATATACTTGCCTCTTTGACAGGTCTCACAACCTTTACTTGGGCTTAAATTCAATTCACGAGTACCTAGCTTGGAATTTCCAGTGTTTCCACAGCGTGTTGCAATTATAGTTCAATTTAATTTGGGATGGTTGATCCAAACAGAAATGCTATATTCCTAACCCTGATTATGTGTTTTGTTAGTATATATTTTAGCTTTGGATAATCAAGTACTTCAATATTCTATTAGTTAGAGTGATTGTGTATTATTAGTAATTTCTTTAAATTAGATTTAATGGAGGAAGTTAGTGTTTATTAAAGAAGTACCGAAGAAGCACCCAGACAAAAGAAATCTCGGCTGAATCTATGATAACTCGTTAAATATATCTTGAAGTCTTCTCAATTGAATCAAAACCAGAGACTGAATGTTTCGTTTAAGCAGGGGTTTGTACCACATACTTCATTAAAAATTAAATCATCAATAAAGGTGGTGTTGATATAAGCCTGTTAACTAAATATTTTGGTTTACTAACACATTGAAAGGTCAACATACGAAGTAGGTGCATAAAGATAAAATACGTAGCAATACATCCGAATAAATTTAGTGCAGATTACCATAGCTGAGAGGGCTTGAAGGCTAGCAGAACGCATCTGTTTTTCTCTCCCTTCCTCTCCTAATTCTTGAGCTAGAAGGCAAAGTTTGGGAATCATTCCATCTAAGTTGAACATATAGGTGCTATCCCTCTACATAGTATAAACGCACATAAATATAAAGAACATTTTCAAAGAATTAGTGTAAAAAGCTGAAATATACCATACTGGTAACCCTTAAAAAAAATAGACCAAACAAAATTCTAAAAAGTAAGCATACCATACTGGGAACCCTTACCTGCTGATTAACAAAATCAAAGAGAGCTTGGCATCCTAAAATTCTCATTTCATCATGTCGTGCTTGATCTAGTAGAATGTGGATGATGGCAAGCAAACTACTTGCAAACAGAGGCCTGCAATAGTTATGTATGCCGATTACAACTTTCATATGCATGTAAGTAGTACATTTTAAGGTTAGGACACATCAAAAATCAATAAGCATGTTTATTATCCACCATGAATTCTCCATATATCGCAAAAGGTTTCCAGAAAATTCATTCTGAAGAACAGTAACTTAATTTACAGTCTCATATGGCTAAAAAGTTATAATTGATTTATAAAACTTCTATACAATTTCATTTTACATATGTTTCACAAGATTTTAATAAATAAATGAAATTACACAAAACGGTTTGATTTGAAATCCAATGACAAGGAAAAGGCCTGTGCAAGAAAGACACTCGAGGCCATTAAGAAATGCAAAAGATTTACACATGCATAACTCCATCCATTATCTATCTATACTACAAAAAGGGGAGCCAGGTGTCAAAATAATTCAATCAAATTAATCGTTGAAAAAAAAAAATTATTTCCTATACCATTTGGAAACTTAATTCATTTCTTCTTGATTAGTGATGGATTATGGTAAAACCTGGAAGATTAAAAATAAATGTGATGGTGGAATACAATTAAATTGCCTTGTGATCATTCAAGATAAATATTGTTCTCTTGTCCTGCATATCACTATCGGTAGTGCCGTTATAACCCAAAGAGATGACTACCTCAATTCTATTAGAAGGCTAGTTGGTCCAAATCCAGGTCTAATAAGTAGCATTGGATACGACGTAATGCAAAAAGAAAAACTCAAGAGTAACCAAAGTACAACCATTTATTCATAGACCAAAGTAATTCCTAAAGACTAGAGCTCAAGGTAATCTAGAAGTCTCTGGTTAACAAGCCTTCCAAAAAAGACAAGTTACTGGGGCATGTTTATAAGCATATACAAAAAGACAAATACCTAAATACTTGTGCGAATACTGATTTCATGTCAATTTCATGAATAGGTTTTAGTTGCTTCAAAAAGTCATTGATATGACTGAGATGTAAGCATGTATAAATTGAACCACTCTATCAAATCTAGCTTTCGTAATGCATGTGTATAGGGATCTCATAAAGATCCAGGAAAATGATACTAATGTTCAAATATTTGGGCCATTACAAAATTAAATAAGGAACTCACATTTGCTCTTTACATGAAAATAACAGCTTTCTGTAGATACATATGATGACTTTAACAGAGTGCAATTGCTCATTTCTCAATTCCTTGTAAAATCTCTGCTCAAGACTAGTTGTGATCTGCAAAAAAGAATATTAAAATCTCATGAAAGAATCAATGAATAAGAGGAAGAACTAAGGTGTTATAAATACAAACCATGAAATTACTATGGCCTCCACGCTCGAGGGGCAAAGCAATTAATATATCATAATGAAAAACAGATGAAGAGAATGCTTTTTAGCTCGTTCCATTGCAAAAGGAGTATTTTATTTTTCATTTGTCTTTTTTTCTTCTTGTTTCACTCTCTCGTGGAGTTCGTATCCTTTGAGTATTAGTTTTTTTTTTTTTTTTTTTTCCATTTATTACATGAAAAGTTTCATTTTTTGTTTAAAAAACAGCTGAAGCATGCCGAAAATATTAAGAATAACTTGCACAAAAAAAAAAATGCCTAACCTCTGATATCAGGAACTACATTTAATGCGAAGAAAGGCAAAACAAGAGTATCCAAATCAAACGTTTAACAAGGCTAAGTAAACAGTAGAATTAAGTTTCCTGCAGACCCTCAAATTATCAACTCTTCTATCATATGGTTTCTCAAGGAAGAAAAACATAAGAGGATGGAGAAATCTGCCATGCTTGATTTATATCAATGAAGTTCTGCACCGTCCTCCATATTAGACGATTCCATAACCTTTTTATCAATAGCAGTTCAATCTACACAGTAATTGCTACATATCATCTTCGTCTCTAGATAAGTGAGATGAAGTGTTATAAATTCTTTTTATGGAAAATAAGATGCTGTCAGAATAATCCAAGAACATGGTTCCAAGATATTAGTGAAAATAAAATTCAGGTAAGTGGCACCTTGGGAACCCGAAAAGGATTTTTTGCTGCATATTCACATAATTTTCCAATCTTCCTGTCATTGGGTTCCTCTTCCTGCCATAACAGGAAGAGAAGGTTCAATATCAAAACTGAATTCTCAGAATCTAAAATAGATTTTTGAACATATAGTTCTTTCAGACACAAAAAAAAAAAAAAAAAAAAAAAACACCAACACGTGTTTCTAGCTACATGGGCAAGGAAAAAAGTTAGACTCCGAACAAAGAGTACTAAGCAGCACAACGTGAGGTGAGGCTTAAAGGTAAAAATGCCTATGTAAATAGCTATATGGCTGACTGCTACATAAGGGAGAGAACGATACAAATAAAATTGAAATATTTGGTGTCCATGAATCATGGAGTAAACCAACAAGAAATATTTTGCGTAGTATCATATATTCAAGTTAGATCATGGTCATATATGTTTCAAGTAAACAATTCTGGATCACTCGCTCGACGATGTTTGTGTAGTGTAAGAATATTTTCACCAGATAGCCTATGAGAAACGTATGAATTTCAAGTCAGTGTAGATGTGAGAGATGAGCTTCCTGAAAAAGCCTTGAAAATAGATCTGGGGCATTTTTAAAATTTTGTGGAATCCTCTATGCAATTACTAAAGGTGATGATAACAAAGAAATATTTGGAATCATGTATTTTTCTACAAATAAATACCCTCAACTTTCGTTCATGTTCTACTTTGGCCCTTAAGAGACTAAAAATATTGATTTTGATTCCTGAAACTTAAAATCTTTTCAATTCTGGCCCTCCACTTTAGAACATAACTTCCATTGAACATCAAGTTTGGCCCTTAATGTAGAAATCTAAGCGCGATGTAACATTGTTAATCATCCACAAAGATATGTTGTTACGTCAAATCCAACATGGATAACTGAATAGGACGAACATAGTACAAGAATAGAACAAATGATTATAACATAAAACATGCAGCCATGTTAAAACAAAACTAGCAGGTGCACGTAAAACTCAACCAATCAGCCAGAGTTCCCTTGAGCAACAAACACAACGATTGAAAAATCAGTTGGTAATTTAAAACAGAGAAGAACCTGGGAGCGAGGAAAGATATCAGCAAGCAGCTTCTTGTAGCGCTTAATGGGCTGCCTGGACCTGGTACTCAAAGCAGGGCAAAAGAAACACAAAGTTCCACACACCGGCACCACTTGGCGGGATACCATCGCCATTAGTGGAAGGAAATCCCAAAATTTTCCCTAAAAACAACAAATTTCATCCGTTGGGCAAGGAGAGAATCCCAAATCGATGGGATTGGCGAAGAACAAGCTCCGGGCGGAGGACCGGATGGAGATGGGATTGAATCGTCCTTGCCCTCGAAAAGTTGAGAAAAGGGAATTACAATAATAATAATGTCCGGTTCCGGTGTGTGAACGCGAGAGCACCGGATCTCCGAGACCTCCACCGGAACAAAAAAAAATGGTGGAGATCAAAATCAATTTATACGCTCATCTTGCATTCGCCTCCATTTTCGGCTATTTTCTCTCTTCGTTCTTGGCTGTCGCAAAATTCCCAATACCTCGCCATCTCATTCTTCTCTTTCCAACTGCCAAATTAGATACCGTTATTTTCCCGCCTTATCCTTAAAATAGATAATATATATATTTTCTCTTACAAAACTTATTTTATTTTTAAAATTATGTTTGTCTCAATTTTAAAAATAAAAAATTAATTATTTTTATTTTTAAAATTTGGTTTGATTTTTTAACATATTGATAAAATAAATAAATAAATTTAGGCAAAAATAGTGATTAAAAATCAAATTTGTTTTTAAAAAACTATTTATATTTTTTAAAAATTAGTCAAAAGATATATATCTTAATTATAATAATTGTTGTTTTTATTTAACTACATTTAAATAAATAAATAAATAAACCCTGTATTTAATTCAATTATAAAATAAATAAATAAATAAATAAAAACCTAAATACCAAATGAAGAAAAAGAAAAGACGGTTGCCGCGTATCTATCTTCCTCCTATGCTGTGTTCGTCCCTGATTCGAGCTGAAGCCTTCTCTCTGTAATCTCCATCCTTCTTGTTAGGGTTGAATCGCTGCGTCTTCCTTCGCTTCTCGATTCCTCTTTGGGTTTAATCGAGCGTGGCGGATGTGTGGAAGAAAATGAACTACGGATCCCCTAAACTTCCTTCAAGGGTGGCGATTTTTCCGATAAAGTTATCGATGCTAACGATTTCCATTGGCGGAGTGGTGGATTGCTTTTGTGCCTCTGTTTCAAGCGTCTCCAGCATGTAAGAACCTTCTATTCACTTTTTTTTTTTTTTTTTTTTTTTTTT